TCCCAAAAGAAAATTTTTTCTTTACTAAGCAAACCTCTCTTCGACTTTTAAGTAAACTTGTAGAGGATTGTCTTGCGTTCAAAATGATGGTTTAAACGTTAAAATCGGCCTAGTGGATCACGAGATATAAGTACTTTATTCTTCGCGACTATATGTTTTCTTCTAAAGAAGAGAACATACAGTCGCGAAGACTAAATTACTTATATCTCGCGTTCCATTAGGCCGATTTTGACGTTTAAACTATCATTTTGATCGCAAGACACTCCTCTAAAAGTTTATTTAGAAATCGAAGAGAGGCTTGCTTAGTAAAGAAAAAAGTTTTCCTTTGGGAAATTCCAGATTCCAAAGACAACAAAAAATATATAGTAAATACCTCCACTGTTTACTATGTTTTGTACGAATTAATCAATATCCGGATTGTATTCGGATACTATCCGGATATTAGCTGGCCTTATCCGGATATCCGAAAAACCTATCCGGAAACTAAATTTAAGATTCGGATATCGGATAGTTGCCTCTACGGTTCCAACCACTAATTCGAAGAAGTTAAATTTTGTTCACGTTATAATAACTTTATATATTTTTATTTAGTTATAATAGTATAGACATTATAAACAGTTTACGAAAGAAAGCAAGATGTTCAAAGTAGATTTAGATTGCAAATCAGTGTATGGTACTGTTTTTTTTAACATATGTATATGGGTGATGGTATTGTTTAATAGTATAACAGTGTAAATAAATATTGTAATATTAGTGAAGGTAGCAAAGATTAAGTGGGTTTGCCCATAACAATAGTTATTATGATTTGATTTAAGGTTCTGATATTTTCACACCCTTTTGTTATTTCTACACCCCAATGTAAATCACTAGTTTTTTTTAACTTTTATCAAAGTATTTCAACAACCATTTAACCAAATTCAATAAATTTTTTTATTAGAATTCTATGGTTCTGTAGAATTCAAATAAAAAAAAAATTCATCAAATTTGTTGGATGATTGTCAAGATACCTTCGATCAAAGTCATGCCCATGTTTTCACGGCTAATTTTGACAGACGTTTAAGCGAAGGTAACTTGACAACCATCAAACAAAATTCGATGGATTTTATTTATTTGACCCGCAGAATTCAAATAAAAAAATATTTATCGGATTTGGTTAAATGGTGTCGAATACCTTCGATCAAGTTTTAAAGAAAATTCAAAATATTAGTGCGAAAATTTTCCTTGGTTTGATCGACAGCTATTTAACCAAATTTGTTGAATTTTTTTTTTATTGAATACTACAGATCCGTAGAATCAAATAAAAAAGTTCATAAAATTTGTTAAAAAAAAAAAAAAAGGGAGATTTTCGTTCCGGAAAATGCTCATGTTTCGGAACAAAACATACAAATTCCTGATCATTTCCATAGAATCCCAGTAACTTTCAGGTAGGAATTAAATCCAGTTAAGATCCAGGTTTTAATCTTTTGTAAATACTTCATTATAATTAGAAGCCGAATCTTAATCTTGACCCGGAATTTATCAGGATTCTACGGAAATGATCAAGAATTTGTATATGTTTTGTTCAAGAAATGAGCATTTACCGGAACGATAATGGAGCGATAATATGAAGAAAGTCGGGATACAATTTTCGAAAATTTTTTATAGGGAAATGATAGTACTGGTCCTGCGCAGTGTTATGTACTTGCGCAGCTACCCTAATTTGCTGATATTGCTTTGTGCTGGCCTAGTTCCGATGCATCCTACCGGAATTTTGTTGATCTTTCCTGTAAACAATATTTAATATTGTTCTTAAAAAAGTAATAAAACCGTTTTACAGCATGAATCAATATTACACATTATTTTATATTTGGTTAGTGTTGTAATAATTTTGTATGACGCAACTCCTTTAAAAGCGGATTTACATTAAACACTAACGTTAATCGTGTACTTTACAACTACTTTATAACAGTCAACCTACTACTGCTGTACTTTACAAAATGGATACATTAATTCCTAACAATTCAGTAAACATTACCGATGGTAATGATTTGGAAATTATTACAGGTATTCCTTATAAGATAATAAACGATGGACATTATTTAGATAATGGGGGAGCAAATTTTGGTTCATATGTTACTCTATGTGGAAATTCTTATGACCGAAATGATTCCAATTATTCGAGGCAAATATGGTATATTGAAGAATCAACAAATCTTGGAGAATATAGAATTTCCAGCAATGGAAAATATTTAGATACTTTTGGAGGTGAAAATAAGTTTGAATGTCGTATGAGTTATGAGAATCATTTTGATAATCCTTATTATTCAAGGCAGCTATGGTCTTTTTCAAATCAAAATGAATCTGAATCTGAATCTAAAAAAGTACAAATTCAAAATCTTTCGAATAAATGTTATTTGGATAATTGGGGTGGATATTCAACTGTTCACTTTTCATCACATTTTAACCAACCAAATGAACATTTTTATTCAAGACAGTTGTGGAAATTTGAAATTGCCGATTATCAACTCAAGGCTGAAATTGAAGATTTTAAATATGATGAAAAGATTAATGATTTAGATTCATATGCAACTAGAGATTCTTTTAGTATCTTTACTTCAAGAAATCAATCGAATGGTTGTAATAAGTTAGGAGTTACCTTATCAGAGAAAATGCAAAATATCACATCTTGGTCCTTTAATAAAAGCAAGGAGATAGCATTTTTGGATAAACTTGATGTCGATATAAAAGCAGAATATGCAGGAGTTAAAGGAAATTTACCAGAAATTATAAAGTGGGATAATAAAACCACATCTTTAGAAACTACCAAAAAAGTTCAATTAGATGAGACTACTGTTTCTGGAAAATATTCATTGGAAATTCAAAAAAAAGAAGACGTTGAGGTTAAAATAACATGGCACAAGGTTAATTTAGATATTCAATTTATTGCAACAGCAAAAATTAAAGGATTTTCTGATCGTCTAAGGAAAAATGGATCTGTAGCGAAAATGGAGCAAGTAGATGCCAATGCTACATTATGTTTCTTAAGAAATTCGGGTTTCGAAGGAACAATTATTGGCACGGAAGGAAAAAATGTTTTAGTTGAAATTACTGGTAATGTTAATATTCAAGGCGCCTTGAAATATGAAATAGAAAAGTCCAATATTTTTCTTCCCAGTTTAAATACTGCAGTTGATGACCACGTAGATGATGACCATGTGCTTATCTAATATGGCGTCGGCGCTGCTATAGTGCAAGAAAGTCTCTTCAATTATTTTTGTTATAAATTTTGGCCTTTTTTTTAGTTTTTTATGTTATTTTCTTATTCATCCATTCATAATTTCTATATCGTCCATTCATAATTTCTATATCGTCCATTCATTATTTCTATATCGTCCATTCATTATTTCTATATCGTCCATTCATTATTTCTATATCGTCCATTCATTATTTCTATATCGTCCATTCATTATTTCTATGCCTTTCATTCATTATTTTTATATTATTTTATGCTATTATTAAGTTTTGGCTTTAAAACTTGCCGACTTGAAGCATCAAATAAATCGCAGATAAGTTCTTTGTTTTTTTTAATTTGTCGGTGAAAGTATTTCCATTGAATTTTAGAAATGTTCAGCTCCCAGTTTAATAGATCCAAATTTAAACTCAATAATCAGAAATTAAATATACATTTGAATAATTTACTTGTTAAAAATATAAAGATTACGATCATCTTTAAATATTTTATTGTATCATAAATATAAAGATTACGATCATTTTTGAATATTTTATTGTATCATAAATATAAAGTATTAAAATAAAACATCATCACGATCATGTCCTTTTAAAATTTAGTTAAAATGCAAGAACAAAAAAGCATTTATATACCCGAAAAATAGCATAGGAAATGAGCTAGAAAAAAACAAATATAGAAATAAGTTTGATAACTCAGGAACAAAAGAAATGAATAAGCAAAATAAAATTTCGTTGCAATTTTCAGTCATTTAACTAACATCTCTTAGAATGACAAGCTACAAGTTATGTGATGTTAACATATATAGTAAAAAGGAGTGTTTATTTTTGGAGAAACATGGTAAATGAAGGAACACAACGATTTAACAAAAATTTTTTAAAACCTTTATATTATATTATACATGGCTCTCGTTAATATCAACCTAAGCTACAAGCCAAATTTTTATAAATTTTTATAAATTTTATAAAACAAAATTCCCTCATATATATCACTATCAACATGAATATAAGAGTGATCAAAATAGGTTGATGTTAGCGAGGGTCAAGTGTACTAGAATTAAGGAATGTTGAGAATTAATTTTTCGGAGGGACATTTAATTCAGATAAGAATGGGCGTAATGAATTATAGAATGCAGATGAAAATTGTCTTGATAAATGTGTTGGGAAATCCTAAGGGCGTCGAATATAAAAGCCTATTAGATTCATCTTGCTTGTATCTTTAGGCTTTCCCTCTCATTTATAAATAACATTTTCTGAGTGATTTCTTATTTTTATCTTATCCTGCTTCACGAATAATCTTCTGTGCGATTCCTTATTCATATTGCATCTTCCATGTTACTTATTCTGTGAGCCAAAATTCACGATGCTTCATTGTATCCATTAACAGTTATATTTTTACATATTATGTTTATGTTAATCTTGCGCATATTTTTATTTTTGTTCATTAACGCCTATAATATGATACATACATATTGCTGAGTGCTGTATATGTTCCGCGTCATTTTTCGATTGTCAATTTTGACATGTCATTTACAACTTTCACCGATTGAAGTATGTTCGAGACGATTCTCCAATACTTAATGTTGATATTAATAATAAAGGTAAATAAAGATAAAAAACTTTAGCAACTCTTTTATTATTGCGTACCACATTTTTTTTAAATTGATCTTTTATCCCTGTGTATTGCATTTTTCTTTTTTCAACATTACAAATTTACAAGGATATACGATAGTTTCAGAATACTAAAAACTTTCATTAACAAGTTGTAAAATAATTGAATAGAAGCCGTTACGACGAGTGTCTAAATATACTAAAAATCTGTGCCATCAATATAATCTGACGTTCTCAAAGTTCATCATATTTGCATAACAGAAAAATTACATATACTTAAACAAGATAGAGCTAATTTTGGAACGCAAGTTTGTTATATCAAATATTTTTACGAAATAAATTGCGCAGAGTGTCAAGAAAAAAATTTAGAAAAAGATAAAGATATAAAAAATTGGTTTAAAAAATAATAATGGTAGTAATAATTTCTTTTTTAATTTGGATAAGATATTGTTATATGTGATTCACAAACATTAACAGACGCATTTCTAAGAGAGTTCCGCCAACGCCCTATGTGTTTCCAAGCGTTTTTTGAATATATCCAGGTATGTCATGTTAACCTTAATAAATAAATACCCAACTCATAACAATAAAGTATCAACAAATTATAATTACAATTGACCAACTTGCAATATTCAAAATAATCAAATATTAATGAGACCCATCCAATGCATTTCTTGAGTAAAGAAAAAAAAAAGCATTTAAATTTAAAATAAAGTTATTAATTCCATAACTTTTGATAAACATTATCACTACGAATTACAATAATATTGGTTCAGACCAAAATATCCATCCAGATTCTTATTTTATGAAAAACAAATTGCGACAATAAGTCCTGCTCTTGCAGGACAATATCTCATTATGTTTAAGAAAATGCAGATGTTTGCATAGCAAACGTAACAATTCTTAAATACGTTATTTAAAAATATATATAATATTTGAATGTATTCGTTTAAGATATGCAAATTCAGTTCTTATTTGTATTTAATCAAGTACGTGATAATTCTTTTTTTTGTCTTTTTTTAAAAAATTTCGCTTTATTAATTTTTTTAAATTTTTTTTCTCGCTTTTCATTTTTATTTTTCTAAAAAAAAATTTTCGGGTTCATTTTTGGTTTTGATTTTTTTTTAATTTTTTTTTATTAAATGATGAATGCACGCGAGTTTTAATTACATATACATTCACCTACGAATGATTCACGTTAATTAATAATTAACATAAATTGAAAATTACGCAAAACACGAAAACTCAACAATGGCGGAAGAAAGATGCCTCTGTCAGCCTAATGAAATTATCGTATTGAAATTTGCTATGATTTATCTTATTGAAGTATGTAATGATGAGAATCCAAAGATTACTACCCTTGAGAAGATATTGGTTCTTATTTCATTTAATCAGCATAGCGGGCTTTCATTCCGATTGGCCAATTTTTGTAGATCATCCCGTGATATCATAAAATTTTATTGGTT